GCTTTGGGGATGGATCACAGAGTGACTGTGGACAGAGCATACTTGAATTAAGGAAATCAAACACGGTGAGAGACAGACAAAGAGATGGTCGTTGAGATAAGCAGGCAGGGAGAGGTGGTTGGGTGTCTGGTGGCAGCAGGGATGCCCAGGGGTCTTCTGAGCGCTAATCTTTCTGGGGGCTGATCCACTGGTCTTGTCTCCTTCGCAGCCTCCGAGTGTCTTAGAACCACCCACCTTCTGGTCAGCAGGGGGGATTTTAACCATTGAGCCAGCAAACACCCCAAACAAACTCCCTGCCCGACAGCGATGCGAGAAGACGGAGGAGAACTGTCCCTGTGGGTTCCTGAGACCGTAACTCTACAGGAGTAGAGAGCTCCTCTTTGTCCCGCAGAGCGGGTGGTGGCTTCAAACTGCTAACCTTGCAGTTAGCAGCCCAACAGTAACTGATACAGCACCAGAGTGAGTGAGAGAGAGAGCCCTGTGGGGAGAGAGAAGGAAGCAAAGGAGAGAGAAGAAAGGGGAGGTGGTACAGAAAGGGTTAATGCACATACTGCTTGGCTTTGTTAGCTTCCCCATGCCCTCCTGCACTGAGGTAAGTCACCCCCAGCCCACAGGTGCCTTCCCTAGTGAGTCCGGGCAGAGCTGGGTCTGGCATCAATGTTCTGGCTCCCCTTTCCACTCCATCCGGCCCAAGTGCTTTAGAGTATGTAGGAGGTTAGCAACTGGGGTCACTGTTTAAAGGTGTTCTTGGTTGGGACCCCTAACCCTTTACCTGTGCTGGATTTGAACTCCCAGCCTCATATCAGGGTGGACCCGCACCCTGTTGGGCAGCCAGCCTGCAGAGAAAGAATGTGAGGAAGAGCGAAGAGTGGTGGGCGGCGTCCGTGCTTTGGAAACCCTCCTCTAAGGGCACAGAGTCGCTGGATCATTAGCACACTGAACTGGTCCGCGCCCCTGTCCACCACTCCCAGCCTTTGCTCCATCGTAGTCCAACACACAACCAGAAAGCCAGCCTATTACTGTGGAGCCCGCTGGGGCCTCCCCGTGCTCCACGGTGGGGTTCCATGCTGATTGGGGAGGAGTGGAAGGCCACCTCCTTCTGGGGCACAAACTCTACCCTTTCCTTTAGCAGCATGGCTCCTCAGCAGCCCGCTCCGCCCAGGAACATTCAGCCAGTCGGCGGCGGCAGATGTGCCTCTGCTAGGCCTGGCCCTGGGTGCCTCCCCGTGGAGGGATTTTTATTGGAGACAGACCTTCCAGGGGTCAGGATCTGCGTGAGGAGGTCAAACTAGTGTCTGTGAGTCAGTAGGAGAGGGGCTGAGGAGACTGGGAGTGTCTCCGTGAGCTAACAGCAGAGGGGGGAGCATCCTCTGGAGGAGGGTGCCATGTCACCACCTTGAGGGATCCGTGAGCCACCTGTGGGGAAGTCAGCCCCCTCCCCTCCGTGCAGCACGAGCTGGTGAGGGAGGGAGGCCGGGACGGCACAGCCACAGCCTTTGATGCTGAAAAAACAGCCACAAGACCTTGGGGTCTGATATATTATTCGGAAGAAGCATACGTAGGTTTCAGACAGGTGACATTAACATAACAGTCGATTTCATTTCGTAAGGGAAAAACTAACTCAACGGAGAACTATCGAAATACTAAGGATGTTTGGATTAGGATTGTAGGTTGCGATAATTTTCCCACCTCTTTTACTCTATTTTCCACATGTTTGGGACATATGGTGATGTCATTTTGTAAGGAAAGCTGTTTTCATTCCTTAAGGAATGTCATTTAGTCCAACCCTCATCCCAAGACAAGAATCTGTCTCAACGTGAAACTCCTTCCAATGCCCAGATTCGCAGAGGCTGGCGCAAGTGCCTTGCCTGGATGTGGGGAGGAAGGTGGCCCAGAGGCCCCACTGAGCCCCTGGGCTGGATACCCCCCCACTGCCCTCCCCTCTGAGAGGGAGCTACCTGACACATTCTCTCACCACAGCAGCAGAGGCGCCTTGCTAATGAAGCAGTAGGTGACCCAGCCAGGACCAGGGCCCGGTCTAAGAGTCTGTACTATATATGCTGCTGGGTGGGCCGGTAGACTGTCAATGCAATCTCATAAACTGATGGAGTCATAGGGAGACAGTCATGAGGCAGAGCCTAGCTGACTCAGATGTGAAGGGTTTTGTGTACACACACACACACACACACACACACACGCGCGCGCGCGCGCGCGCGCGCGCGCACCATGAATCACTAGCATGCAGCCTTTCCTCTCAGTTACCACTGTAACAAGTCACCTTGAACTCACGGGGACTCAGTTACCACTATAACAAGTCACCTTGAACTCACAGGAACCGCTGGCGTTTGCACCACCTTCCAACACCAAACCAGCCTCACTGCCACCAAGTCAGTGCCCACTCACAGCGACCCCTGTGGGTTTCCGCGACTGTAACTCAACAGGTACAGTTGAAGCAGAAAGCCCAGACTTCTCCCAGGGAGCAGCTGAGGGCCGGCCGTGTGGATCGCAGCCCAGTTCGGAACCACGGCCCACCGGGGCCCCACCCTGTCTGGCCTTGTCCCTTACTGTCCAGTGGCATCCAGCTCATGAGGGCCTGTGTGCATCCCAGGGGAGGGCTGGTTTCACCGGCTGGTTTGGGAAAGCTTCTCCAAAGTCCCCCAGGGGAGACGCCAACCTCCAACCGTTCACTGAGAAGCCCAGCACGGGAATGCTCCGCACCCCCTAAGACCCCTTCCCCTAACAGACCTCCCGATAATGCTGGTCAGGGAACATCAGCCCCTTGAGCATGAGCCTGGCCTTCCCCTGCCCCCTCCCCACTCCTCCCATCATTCCTCTGTGCCCCTTGCTCTGACCCAGCTACCTGATTGCCTCGCCACCCCCCAAGTTTGTTTTCTGTGGAGAACGGCCTCCCCGCTCCCAGGGCCGTGGTGGGATGCAGCTGGCAGTGCCGGCCGCCTCGCATAAAAGGCTCAGTGAGTCCTTGGGCACTTGGAACTCAGAACGGAATTTCTCCCTATTTTCTTTACAGCCGAGAAAACACACACCAACACAAGAGCATATTTATTGCGATATTTCTACAAAGTTTGCCTTTTAAAAAAAGAAGCAATAAAATTAGTCTTTTTGCCCACTCCCCTCCCACCCTCGCCTCCCCTCAAAGCTGCTCCCCGCCCCCCTTTTCATTCCTCCCCATTTCCTGGTCTGGGCCGGGGAGGAACACAGCCACCCGGAGCCCACAGAGAGCCACTGCATCCCCAGACAATGCCCGACTTGTTCAGGGAGCAAGGAACAAACACAACACTGAAAACATACACACAACTGCCCCTGCAGGGGGGGAAGAGGAGAACAGGTGGGTCTGTGTCCAACCCGGATCCCGGAGGCCTTGGGGAGAGAGGAGCCCACAAGTCTAGAGGCCTCCGCAGAAGGGAGCAGGGCGCCTCACCCTTTCACCCTGCTGGCAACTACTCCCCAACTGGTTTGAAGAGGAGCCCCACAGCTCACTGGTCCCTCCAATGTCCGGACTTGGAGCCCCAGAGATGCCCCGAACAGCAGTGTTGGAGTCGGAAGTCCCCGAGGAAAATGGAGTGTGACAGGGAGGGGGTCCAAAGATGTCCCACTCAAAAGGACAGCCAGAAAGAGGAACCCAAAGTCCGGGACCCTGCTCTGTCCCTGCACCAGTCCTTCCTGGGACACCAGTATTTCCAGAGCTTCCCTCATCCCCATCCCATGGCGATGGAGCAAACCACAAGCAACGCCGGCTGGGCCAGCAGGCTCCTCCAGAGCCATGGTAGGGAAGCCAGATGCACTTCTCAACTGCGTGTTACTCAGCCTCTGACACCGGCCAGTTGGCCCTCAGATCTACTCCGACACAGGGTCACCATGAGTCAGCACAGGCTCAGATGGAACTAGAACTCCTTGGGGTCTAGCTCTGCTGGTCCCCAAGGGGTCCCCTTCCTACTGTGGTTGTCGCTGTGTTGTGTATTTAGCAGGACAGTTTGTCTATGATCGGTGTGTGGGTCCCCAAACCTCCTCAAGAGCTCTCTGGGCCACCATCTTCCTGAAAGCTTGGGGCATACCGCACTTATTATTGAATCTGAAATTAGGGACGGGCCCAGATGTCATCAAGGGGCTGGGAAAACTTGTCTCCCCTCTCTGAGCCTGGGAGATTCCTTAGGCTGTGGTTTCACTGACTGAAAGGTAGAGGCTCCCTGGAAGAGTTTCTCCCACCGCAGACACTCAAATTCACTGTGGCCCAATAGGACAGACTAGAACTGCCCTGGTGGGCTTCTGAGGCTGTAATCTTTATGGCAGGGAGCCTCATCTTTCTCTCGTGGAGTGGTGGGTGGATTCGAAGTGCTGAGCTTGCAGTCAGCAGCCCAACAAGGGATGCACTAAGTCAGCAAGGTTCCTTCTGCCCACCTGCTGTTGTTGGGTGTCATGGGGTCCGCTCCGACCCACAGCGACTCTCTGCAGGACAGCGCGAAACACTGCCCCGTCCCGCGCCATCCACACAAGCCTCCCTGTGCCTGAGCCCACTGAAGCCACCACTGTGCCAGTCCATCTCCTCGGGGGGGCTTCCTCTTTTTCGAAGCGCCTCCACTTTACCACACCCGATGCCCTTCTCCAGGGACTGCCCTCTCCTGACCCCAGGGCCAAAGTATGTGAGATGAAGTCTTGCCGTCCTTGCCTCTACGGAGCTCTCTGGCCTTAGAGGAAGTTTACAGCTGTTCCTCTTTACCTTGGGTCATGCTCTACCAGCAAACGCTCTACTCCCACAGGCGTTACCAGACTCACGTCACCATGGTCGGCTTCTCCCTCCGACTCACCTGTCCTCTATGAAGGTTTGGAGAGGGGAGGGCTCTGCCGTGGGGTGACAGCTCACGAACCACATGCCGTCGCCTGACCATGCCGTGACTTCAGATCTTGGATATGGGGGTCCCTCGCCTATGTTTATGCCTCACCGGTGCACATCACACCTCTGCCTTTTCTCTTCCAGGTGAACGATGACCACTTCATTGCTGGTGTTTGTGACTCTGAGGGTCATCACGGCAGCGGTCTCAGCAGCATTTTCAGGTGAGGACATTCGTACCAAGCCTGCCTTCGGTCGGCAGGCTCTGGTGCAGGAGCTGACCTGTGGGCCGCTAGGCCCGGATCATCGTTTCCTCTTTCTCAGCCCTACCTCTTGCCTTTCAAATGCAAGCACATCTGCAAAGGAAGGCCACTCATGTATACACACCTGTGCACGTGATATGTACACATATGTGCACACACAAATGTGTGTGCTTATACACGGTGCATGCACACACACGTGCACACATGCTACCTGCACGTGCGCATGTCTGCACATGCACCGGTGCACTCTTGCACACGCCAGTACCACTGGGATCCCTTCCTCAGATGGCATTGCTCTGGCTGCCCCTGAGACGGACAGCTGAGGAGGAGAGCTCCTGGCAGGTGCCCACCTCCCAGGGTCCTCCACGTGGCTGTCACCTAGAGCTCATGGGTGAGGCAAACAGGGAAAGAGAAGCTGGTTCCTCCTGGTGGACCAGCTGGAGCATCCGAGGAGAGAAGAATCCTTTGGGAAGCACCCACAAGAAGCCCACAGACACACAAGCCTGCCTCTCTCGGCACGTGGAGGGCTGAACCACAGGAATGAGGGCTCCACTCACCCCGGGGTGCTCTCGACTCCAAAGTGGGATTGCTCTAACGAGCACCCTCCACTCTCGGCCGAGAATGGTAGATGCCCTTTCGGACCCTCCTCCAGCCCCACCCTCCTGGAGGGATGAGGGGTCTGCAGAGCCTAGCAGATTGCCCACCCGCAGCTGTGCTTCCCCCTTTGGAGCTGAGCGAGAAAGGCGC